ATGCCTAAAGAATCAGTGTACCAAATTTCAGCCTCCTAGGTAAATGGGAAGTGGGAGAATTAGTGATGAGTGAGTGAGTGAGTGAGTCAGTCAGTCAGTCAGTCAGTGAGGGCTTTGCCTTTTATATATATAGATATTTTTATTTTGGGTCATCAACACATCTTTTTTCAATTACTGTATTAACTAAAGTAAACATTTTGACCATAAGAGGATCCTAAATATAAAGTGTAAGCATACGTTTGAAGGAACCTTGACATCAGTTTATGTAAGTTTCCTTATCAAGATTTCCACCTCCTTCCACTCTCCTTAGCCATAAAAGGTTTCTTGCCAGAAAGTGTTGGCATTTCTCCAACCACTTTGACCTGAACTGTGAGTGACAGAGCAATCTGGCTAATTTGTTTAAACATATATTACAAAACAAAAATCATCTGTAGTTTTTGTAAAATCAAAGTTTCAAAAGAAAAACTACTCTGAAGGTTTATACAAATCTTCCCAATAATGTACCGTATATTTTTTCCTAAAACAAAATGACCACCAACTCTTGAAAAATCTATAATATTAAAACGTGACAGGGTTTTTTTATTTCACGAATCTGAATCAACCACTTGTCGGATTTTCATGATTTTTGTGTTAAAAGAAAAATAATTATGAGAACTAGGGAATGACGAAGCCCTAATTTTAGTTTAGGGTCATAATTTTAGGGTTTAGTTTAGTTAGAATCTATATATTAATTTGAAACTGTTTTTCTTTGTCACAGCTATTTTGAGAGAACGGCTGGGCGTAGAAACTCGATAGGGGTGTCTAAAGAAAGGTCTTGGTCTGTAGATGAGCCATCAAAAGAGAAACATGGTGAATTCCCTTGGGGCTCTGCCCCAGAAGCCTTTAAAGTTGCCTCCAGATTTGTTTACATTACGACCATATGCATAATTCTTATACTTTTTAACGAAACAGCTGTTAATATTCAAATTGTAATTTATTGAATTTTTCAAAATGAAGTAACTCTTTTCTTTTGGAGTTAACTTATATCTATTGTATGGGTTGGTTTCTGCCTTTTTTTACCACTTCTTGGAGATTGTACGTAGGTGATATTCGTTGGCATATTGCATATGTAGAGGAAACTTGGGTTAGTGTATAGAATGGAAAAGAGTGAGAAATCCTGGACAATTTGATATAGGCTAAAAATAAAACTGAATTAACACTGTTCTACATTTCTTGAGCAATCATTGAAATAACCGATTTGTAAACAATGGAAACATAGAAGAGTCATAGAACACAACCAAGTAGAAGAAATAGAAATAACGTTTTTTTTTTCATTTATAATCGTTATCATAGACAACCTATAAAAACACTAAAAAAAAACAAGATCAGCTTTTTGAAAAAAGATAAGATATTTACAAAAGATTTTGATTATATCTAACTGTTGTGTAGATTGTGAGTATTTCCATTCTCTTTGAGTCGCCTGTAATGCAATTGCTCGAATTCGAGCAACAGGTACACTAGTCTATATATTAATTTGAAACTGTTTTTCTTTGTGACAGCTATTTTGAGAGAACGGCTGGGCGTAGAAACTCGGTAGAGGTGTCTAAAGAAAGGTCCTGGTCTGTAGATGAGCCATCAAAAGAGAAACATGGAGAATTCCCTCGGGGCTCTGCCCCAGTGGCCTTTAAATTCCCATCCCATGTTATTCTTATGGAGGAAAACGAGGTTTTTGTCACAGCTAATTTGAGAGAACGTCTGGGCGTAGAAACTTGGTAGGAGTGTCTAAAGAAAGGTATTGGTCTGTAGTTGAGCCCTCAAAATAGAAACGAGGTAAATTTCCTTGGGGCTCTGCCCAAGAGGCCTTTAAAGTTCACTCTGCAATTTTGTTTACATTTCGACCATATGCATAATTGTACACTACTTTTAATGAACCAGCTGTTAATATTAAAATTGTATCTGAAGGTCTACTGAAACTGTCAAAATTAAATGTTTACATTATTATTTATGATTTTAAATGGATTCTCCACCGCATGGCAAGTTTTTTTATAGTTTCAACAAAATGATGAATTTATGATACGTTTTAAATGTTTTGTTCAAAAATCTATGCTTTATTGCTCTTAGAAAATTTTAAATTATGAAATAAGTGTGACATATCAATTTCAAAGGAACATTTAACTATTCCTTATCGGGTTAGCTTATATATATTGTAAGGTTGGCACTTGCCTTTTTTCCTACTTTCAATCACCATTTATTTTTAAATTCAAGAAAGAACACCTGAGATTCATTTATTGGTATAAAGGTTTTTGATAATCGGGATGAAAATTGTGTCATAGATGAGTACGTTGAGGATGAAAGCTGTGTTCAAGTTTTGGAATAGACTAACTACGGAGTCTATGGTTTTGGTAAAGTAGGTGAACTAATGTCAATTCAGGTATTTAAAAAAATGTGTACACGGTTTTTACTTTGATGTACACATGTAGCTAGGTCGAACAACGCATCTAAACCTCACTACATACAAAACATTCGGAAACACAACAGTCTCATTACATCTCATCGCATTTGCATAATTTGTTACCAAGGCTGGACTAGGTTATGGATTTGGTTCCGCAAATGTTCAAGATTTGTGATAAAATTTCCTACAATTATGGTTCATTCCAATCCACGAAATACATGCACAGCTTTATGTGATCTACACATAATGTATATGGCCAAGGCAAAACTACCCCATAAGTAATGAATTATCAAGTAAGAACAGGATGATTAAATACATGGGTCGATGTGGCAAGGAATTAAAATTGATGACATCGAAGTAAGAATGTTACTGCTTTCTGGAGAATCAAATATTTTTATCAAACAAAAAAAAAACTGATTTAATATGCTGATAGAATTCTGTATTTTTATGAACAAAGATGAATATTACTTATAAATCCGGATACAATCTGAATGATTTTCCTAAAGCAGAAGGAATTAGTGGTTAGTAATAAATATTGACTCTTTCCGTAACATGATAGACTAATTATATGAACTCATTTTCCCATATAGTGAAACAGGCTTTGGTATGAAACAAACTCATGAACAAACGATTATAAGACTCCTAAAAAACCTTTTGGGCAACCTAAAGCCGATAAAAAGGTAGGAAATATTGTGTTAAATGAATTCATCAATCACGTTTTTAGGGAACACAATCGTCATACTTATTATTGCTTATCTTCCCTTCATTTAACTAAGATTTAATGACTTCACTCTATCCATCGCAGTTAGCTGAATTTACATAAAACCTCAAGATTAACCGTCGATTTCGACGGGATTCCACTAGTTGACTTATTAATACTAAACTTTAATGCTATTGAACATCATAGAACAGAACCAAGTTGTTTAATTGAAACAGCTGTTAAGATTCATTAATTCCATTTAAATATGAGTACTCATAAGGTTAACATGGGAAACTCCAGAGCCACTGGGGCGGAGCCCGAGAGTCCGATCAGAATAAAAACAACTTAGTTTTCCTATTTAATGCCTAAAGAATCAGTGTACCAAATTTCAGCCGGGAACGGGACGATTGGCACACATTTTTGGATCTTCTGCCCATGGCAGTATTGGCACAATCATTTGAGCGGAATAAGTAGGGTCAACTCGCCTGCTTGGAAAAGGCACGATTGGCACAACCGCTCGACCAGGTAGACGCCATCGAACGAGGGAAAACGCGAAGTTTAAAATTCCCCGTCAACTCTGCTAACAGTCATTTGTCGGTAATATCGCGTATTTTCAAAGGTTTAGTTAGGTTAGGTTAAGTTAGGTCAGGGAGAACTTGTGATTTGATAATGAGAAGCAACAAAATCAGCTATTATGGCTATTTTTTGAAATGCAATTAATTTCCAAAATTCTTAAATGAAATGAACGATTTCTCAGTATTATATAATGCGTGCTCAAACACAATCGACTATTCCCAACTACATGAACTGACTAATCTAATCTACTTTTGATATTTTGTTGATTAGTACAAGTTAATAATTCTTAAACGCAATTTCCGAATAAAAGTGTAAAAGGGTTTGAAAAGAACGGATGAAAACATAATATTGTGAATTATCAAAAAACGTCGTATCTTCTTGTTTAAGGTAGAGCTCAAATCAGTGACGTCATGAACCGGGCAAAAAACAACTAACGTGTAAGCCTAAACGAATAGTTTTTCTACAATCATCAGAAATGTCCAAACTCCTGCATAGCAAGAAGAATCTAAAAGTGGGAGTAACTACTGTATTGATATTTTATGGGTAAAATCACAAACACTTCAATAACTTTTGTTTACAGCATTTGAGGTAACCATTTTATTTATTGACAAGAGTACCACAACATACTAAATTGAGATCAAAATCATTCAAACCGTAGTTTGTGAAAATCGATTTTCCCGTTGTTTTATGGGTAGCCTACGTAGGCTATGAAAAAATCACTATTGAAAATAAAAATTCCTGAAAAAGGTTATGTAATGTGGCCACAATTTTGGGTACAGTAATTTATTTCCTTGCTTTTTTGAATTTTGGAATCAGTAAAACCACTACGATTTTTGAACTCAAAGAATTATCTGGAAACATCTTTGAAATTCCAAAAAAGGTTCAGTTTCCGCTAGTTTTACCAAGCTAAATTTCTACTAAAAATCCAACTAATTTTCTAAACTAGTTCTAACTAGTTTTCTAACAAATTTTTTAGCTAATTTTCTAGCTAAAAATTCAACTTGGAGTTTAAAAACGTAAATTTTTCAACGTTGGTTTGAGAATTCAAAGTAATCGACACTAAAATGGACCCAAGACTAAAGCATGACTTCAATGTACTAATGTAACGGGACCAAATGTGTATCAGAGTTACAAAGCATAAGTAGATCACAAGGTGCAATTGCAATTATATGCAACATTGTTTATCGTCTCTAGTGTGTCTATGCATGTTGTCTGCGAGGGGCGGCGAGTGGAGGCGGCAAGGGGCGGCGAGGCCTCTATTGATCGGGGGTGGCAGTCGAGCCCGATTCTCGTTGTCGTCATCAACGTTACCTCGTTTGATTTTATCATAACTCGGACAATGTTCGCGGTTGTAAGTTTTATCGTGTCAGGTGGTTTTTGAATTGCCCCCGGCCCCCTTGACCCTAGTTTCGGCTCTCCTGTTGATTTTGGATTCCGGATTTGACCGAAGTTGGTCCGCTTAAACAACAGGTAGGCCTGACTCAATTTGGTAATTTTTGAGAACCCCGCACGGGACATCGATTACGTGGTTAAATGGTCGTATTTTATTGACGTATTTTATTTTTGTATCTTTATGATAATTTATTGCAATTGTCATTTTGTTTATAATAATTTAGATGTTTTTAAATGCATTCACGGTAAATTTTCGTATAAGTTTTGTGACAACCCTTTAAAGATTGTCAGTTATAAGCTATTTACGATCAAAAAATATAATTAATTTAAGATGGTTCTGATGACTATGTTTGTCATACTTCAATAAAATAAATTGCTAAAAAATTATTAGTCAAGTTAATCTACATTACGTTCTTAAATATTTATAAAAACAAATTATGGGCAAATCGATTAAAACAAATATCGATATCAAAATATTACATAATGTTAGAAATTTTGATTATTCAAGTACGACATAAATCACAGAGAACATTGATATTGAAAGCTCAGAAATGACAATCAAGTCTGTGGAAAAAAATGAATATAATGTCTTATTTTACATGGTAACGTGCTTACACGATCAACTTATATTAATAGCATTTGCAATTTATTTTACTCGGGCGTGTTGCAAGCCAATCTTTGATTAAAATTACTTAAATTGTGTTATTTTCTTCTAGTATGTAATCACTGGTACCAATGCAGATTGGAATGCTTATTTGACATTTTACGCCAAGTTGGTTTACAAAACAGACAATGAATAACAAAAACCACTATTATAAATTAATTCAATTATATACATAACCTGGAATTGTAACCGAAAACTGGATTTGTAAAACGGTAGGTATATTATTTTTATTTTGTTATACATGTTGCGTGTAATGTTAGGCCCTATACTGTGCAACAAGGCAAGAACTTTTGATATATTAACAAACTGTCAAAAAGTCTCTGTTTAATACAACTTTGCACAGATTAAAACGAGATTTTAATAAAAGCCCTCCTCTAAAACTTATAAGCTAGGGCAACACACGTCTCATAATTTAAATTTTTAACAACTCAAAACTTTGCTCTGTGTCTACCCCAAATTACATTTAATTCAGATTCAACAAAAAAAAATGTTTGTGATAAATAAAGTACTGTAAGCACTTAGCCTTTGCAAGCCATCTACCTAAATTCATTGCATGAAGTCTACTCTTCTTTAAATTATACATGGACCAAATTGTTAAATGATCTATATCATCTATGGACAGGGACACTACCTATATTCTAGGTTAAAGTACATACCGTTTAACCGTTACTTTTCCGTGTGTAGGCATGGCAAAGGGCAACTTTCCAGCCTATCAATACGGCTGAAAAAGCACCTGTGTAGTTTGATGTAAAGTATCGTAAGTTACTCGCCTGGTAAGCTTTACCAATTTGCTTCCTATTAATAAATACTTTCTTAAGGTATTGTCTGATTTGTTTAGTGCATTGCAGTTTTTACACTTAATGTTGAACAGCTGTTTGATTGACGAATATTTCTTGAACCATTTCTAACCTTCTCAATGGCAGTTTTGATTAAAATAAAGTTCCAAAGAATGACTTTTAATGGCTAAATCTAAGAGTTGTTCATGGAATATTTTTTTCGGACGTCACAGAAACAGTTAAAGAATTTCGTCAATCAAACAGCAACAACAGTGACAACAATAGTGACAATACTGCAGCAAACAAATCAGATAATAATATAAGAAAGTAATTCTTAAACGAAGAAAATTGAAAAAAATGTAATTCCAGCAATTTGATTCGACAAACATTATGTAACTGAAATTTTTACAAAATAATTTCAACACTTCAAAGCTTTCGAGGTGCATAAATGGGCTAATATAGAATCAAACGTCTACACTATTCGTGGGACACCCTGTACATATATGTTCATATAGTATAAGTGAGTGGAGAAAGCGAATGTTTATCAATCCATGGTACATACAGTAATACGTATTACGTTTTATAATACGGTCCCAACACACGAACCAAAGTTGTTACAACAACTCGCATCAGTCTGGGTTCTATTTGCAACTCAATGTTTGTGCAACTAATTAAACACACATCACCAAGTCGAGTTGCTAAACCAACACAGGGATAAATCAGCATTACCATGTTTGTTTCTTACTGAATTAGTCTTCATCTCTAAATCGATTATAAACTACAGTAGATACGATCACAATTATTATCAATAATGCAAATTAGTATATTAAGATAGTAGGTGGCGTAGGTTTAGTAGGTAGGTTATTCAGATTATAAATTGAATATTGATTTTGTATAATGTTATAATGTTTAGCCAATTTGTTTTCTAGAATATTTCTTGTTGTAACAATTTCTTGTAACAATTGTTTCTTGGTTGTTTCAATGCCTAAGAAAATTTCAATCTCCTAACCAAGATGGCAAAGGCATATATTGAAAACTTTACTGACTTAAGTGTTATAATTTAGATTACTTTCCACTTCTCCAGTTATTACCTGATTTAGTACTGCATTAAATTTTCTTGTAAAACACCTATGTGATTGAAAAGTACTGCCATAAACTTGACAAATGCAGTTTTACTGAAACTGAAATTCTGTGAATGTTTTTGAAACTAAAAGCACCTAAAAGTGTTTTGCGTGGGATATTGATCCTTTTGACCTTAGTAAAACTGCACTTGATAAGGTTATGTTTATGGCTCGAGCAATATTAAATTAAACAGCTGTTCAACAATAAGTGTAAACACTGCACGATTATAACAGTAATAGTTGAATTTTATCCTAACCTTAATCACTTTGAAAACCAAGTTACAGTTTTATATAAAGTGAGATTGTATTTATGAAAGCGTTCTACAATCGGAAAACTTAAAGTGTTTTCCTCTCACGCGCCATGTTATCCACTCGGGACAGGTTTATCTGTTAAAATTCATGGATTCACCTTCCTCAGTTTACAGGATGAATACGTAACGTAGTTCGCGAGTTATATGTAAAACGTAACTATTAAACTTGCTAAATTATTCTTGGAGGCTTTGAAATGGGTGATCTTATCTTACTAATATTATAAACTAGCTGTTTGCCCGTTCTACGTACGGGAATCTTGTGGTAAGTTGAAACCTTATATTCAGAACAGGAGTTGGTTTGCATATTTAATGTGCATTTTTCCAGATATGCTGGCAAAACTATTACTGTATAGGAACACATATAAACCTTCGCAAATACAATATCTGACAGTTTCAAAGCCAAAACGAATGCTTCGCAATTAAATGTCACCCGATCGTGGAAGTCCATATTTTATATCTAATGATAAAAGGAATTGCTTGATAGATCTATAAGGCATAGCCCTAAGGTAGGCCTGTAATTGAAAGTTACTTTTCACACTGGTTAAAAGTAGTTAAAATACTACCTCAACCTCACTACTGCACACTTTATTCGGGTTGAAATTTTCATTAACAAAGGGGCTCTTGTCTTTTCAAAGAAACACTGAGAAATAAGGGCATTAATGCGTTACCAACAGACATACACACACAATAACAGAATTGAATTAGGGGATTTGCTACGCTTTAACCAAAGCAAATTACAAACAAAATAATTATTTGAAAGTTTTGATAGTGTCATCAAATGTTATGATAATCGTTTTTAGGCCTAATCAAACTGTAAAATTTGTATAAATCCGTTGGCAAATATATAAATAAGTAAATAAATACACAGTCCACAAAAAATTTATACGTTAACAACGCCAAGCTTTAAAAATTCATGATGGTTTGCTAAAAAATCTTTCAATGATGTTTGATCATTTCATAGCATAAACTAACATTTTGGAGTCCAGACAGAAAACGCAAAAATTATACAGTAGGACATCAATTAAATTTAATAAGAAATAAGGTGCAACACTAACGATAACTATAGTTGTAAATAGTGATGTGTTTGTACGTAAAAATGATTCTTACTGCTACCACCGGTTCTAAGGAAAAGTAGCAGTACCATAAAACAACGTTTACATTTAGTAAGAAAAGAACTATCTTCTATAATATTAAAACGAAACAGTGTTTTTTTATTTCACGATTCTGAATCAACCACTCGACGGATTTTCATGATTTTTGTGTTGAAAGAAAGATAATTTTGAGAACTAGGGAATGTCGAAGCCATAATTTTAGTTTAGGGTCCCAGTTTTTTAGAAATTAAGTTTTAATTTTTTTAAAGTCTAGCAGCCGACGCTAAGAGTCTAAACTAGCTTTTGGCATAAAATAATTTGCTTAACATAACAGCTGTAAACATTCAGCTTTTGTGTCACAAATTCAGCATTTGGATAAAAATGTAAAGACATACTTAGGGTGGACTTATTTATACTATGTGTAATGCTAATCATTGATACGTTCAATACTTCTGTAAGAGGATGACAGATTCATTAAATATATATAGTAAAATACTAGGATGTTCAAATTATTTTTTAAAGCAATCTTTGTAATCTTCGATTTGTTTTAGAGCAATATAATTTGTTTTAACTAACAGCTGGTTAAATATAAACTATGGAACTATGAGGTTATTTTATTTACTCTTATTTTGTCATTGATTATAGGAAATAAGTAAGATTAGTAGAGATAATTAGACCACAGTTTAAACCACAGATTTAACCAAAATTAATTGAACCACAGTACAAAACGAGGCTCTGTACACGAGTCTTAATAAAAAAGGATAAATGCAAGTTATTTTACTGCTCCACTTTTCAAAGAAAGATTAGAAAAGTAAAAATGTTTACATGTCTTAATTCTTAATGGTAGCTTTTTGTTTACAATAATAATGTTTGTCTGCTTTAACTTTGTTTGGATTAAGCCCGGAAATATTGATGTCATAAAAAGAAGATAAAGAATAATCAGGAATCACAATTTTAAATTACCACCACAACCTCAGCCGGGTTTTATACAAAGATAAACAGATGGATGACATAGATAGAACACAACGTCAACATTGACTAGGATACTGCAATTAGACAAACCATCCTTTTATGAAATCGTGTTCAGTGTGGTTACGTTTAGGGGCGCCTATATC